AAGAACATAACAAATAAAGAGAGAAACAGATGTAGAAGAAAACAGTCATTTCAAATAAGCACTCCAACAAGACATCAGTGCACATTTTTTCTTTGTGTTCCACATAGGAATCCTTCATAGGGAATGTGTAGATGGATTTCAAGAACGCCATCTGGAAAACACTCCACCCCCAGGTTATAGAGCATCCAAGGTACATAGGTCCCTTACAAGCTTGAACTGTCCCAAACAACAGTGTGGGATGTTACGCTTACGGATCCAGTGGTCACCATCATTTGCAAAAGATCACCACGCGCCCCCGCTCGCAAGATGTGGAACGGGTCGTACCGGTGGGAGCTGTATGCAGATTGTCGACTCTCGAGTCTCGACATACAGCATGGCCGGCCATGACCGGGTGTTACACAGCGAACCTGTCTTTTGGGTGGAAGTTCCAGTCGGGGCCCATCGAGAGTACTACATACTCTCGCTCGGGGGCAAAACCCGCTCAAAGTGAGTATGAGTTGAGTATCACGCTCGCACCCGAAGCCACGAAGCCTCGTGGCGCCACGGTAGGGCTCAGGGCCATGGCCGTGGCATAGGCCATGGCCCTTGCCATGGCCCTGGGCCCTCCGTGGCCTTAGCAGGGCATTAAGTCCAGCTAAGCCCCCTAAGGAGAGGCTTAAGGGTGGGGCAGTGACCAAAATCGAGCTCGGCGATCATTCAACGTTCTCATTTCATGATACCATTCACAATACAAAGTTGCTTTCTTTTGATCCTCTGCTCAATAAGTTGATTACAAAGACTCAAGAGATGATAGTAAAGCGAGCCAAATAAAAGATATCAACAATAGAAAAACTTACAATACACTACACTCAAATAAAATCAATTATCCACGATTGATCATCACAAAGAAAGGTTAACAAAGTCAGTAAGCGTAAAAGGTAGAATGAGAAATGGAGAGATCGATGTAAACATAAACAAGAAATGCTAGTGGATGAGTGGCATCTGTTCCATAGACAGAGATTTGGATCGAGGGAGATTGAGAAATCAGTAAACGCTCGATAGCGTGTCGTGTTTTCTCAAATCCGCCCCCCAGATCATGGCGCCATCGTGGCGCCACTGTAAGGCCCTGGCTAGAAAGGGCCTGACCGTGGCAGGCCACGCCGGGTGCAGGCCATGGCCACGGCCATGCCCTGGGCCACGAAAAAGGCGCCGGGTATGAGCGTGAGTTGAGTATACTCATACTCACACTTGCATCCCTGGGTGGAACAAGCCTTTCGAAGACAAAGCGCTCGAGTCACTTGCCCCAAAATCTGCTTGATAGATAGGCTCCAGCGTTGATGAAGTAGTTATCGAAAATTTGATCATTCCGTCATGCAAATGATCGACAAGACGGGATTCTTGCAATGAAAAAGTCATCTTTTCTTCAAGTTTCATATGATAGTAACACCTGTTACATATCAGACCTATCATAAGACTTTAACATCGAATCTTTGCCATTCTTTTTGAAGGTGACAGGGAAGGTGTCTATGAGATTGTAGGTGGTACAACGATTGTGCCACTCTTGTTAGAAGACTGGATCTTGATGAAAATTAGATGACCATGCACCCGGAATCCGAGATTAGAAATCAAAATGAACGGCCTGATGAACGACGTTCCCATGATTCCAAGGAGTCAACTTTGGAAACCTGCGGATGTACATTAATCTTCATCTGATGCTGCAACTGACATTGATAATGAGTTTTCAATATATCTCTGATAACTTCGATTCCAAGCAATATCATGACTTTTTGGATTTGAGTTCAGAGCTTGTATACTACACAAATGAACTTTTTGAAAGATGAGGAAAGATGCTAAGCTTACATATGTACCTGCTTTCATAGATTGCAAAAGCATTCTGAAGTTTGTACCTTCCCGCATTACCCGCGATAAAATTCTGTTGTTCCAGATAGGATCAAGCTAGATCGTTCTCCTGAGAGAAGGTGGACTTAATGCCTACGAGATCCAGCGGACCATGATTCTGATATCTATTACAGTCGTTTTCAAAAAGCTTGCCGAAATTTGCCCGCAAAACTCGAGCAATTTGGCGGTGAATTAGCGGCAAGCTTTTTGAAAACGACTGTAAGTGAGTTTGTTCAATTTATCCGCATAACGCAGGTACCTGGTAAACAAATCACTACAAGGGATCTCATGGTAGCTGAAGACGTCCCTGGCACTAATCTGGGCCATGCTGCACAGAACTGAAATGGTACTGTAGGGTTTTTGAATGGAGAAGGAAGAGTGGTATGTATGAATATAGAGACAGTGACAACCGTAATAAAAATAAGCTAAGGGAAACGTACTTATAGCTGTAGGTCTGCACAGCTGATCGTGAATTGTGTGTACACTTAATGAACAAGTTGCATTCTGATGTGGTTCACAGTTGTGACCGCACACAAACTCACCTCAGTTAGCTTCATCTCCACCACGACTTCTACAACCGTACTTTCAAACAGAGAGCACCGCAAGGGTTTAAGCAAGGGAATCAGAATCACAATCAAATTTAAAAAGACTCCGGAGTCGATGAGAATGTTTGCGAAGAAACCGCGAATGGTTCATGGCAGATAGACTTCTTGAGCGACATGACATACATACAAAATCTGTGCCTGCGCATGTGGGTACATATATATGTAAGTAATGTTGAGTACGAGAACATAGAAAATTGGTAGATTGATTGGGATCTGATTGATCTTTAGCTTGATTTGCTTGTTACTTTTGTTGTACACATCTGGTTCATTTGCCTGGGGGATCGGTAAGCGGCGAAAAAAACTCCGGCGAAGAGAGTCGATACCTTGCTTGAAGTTGTGCCGTAACTTGGAAGCTATGGAGTGCAAGCTGTCTGAGTTGTTTCGTACTTCACCAATGGTTTTCTTGGCTAACAGTAATACATTGATGTCCCTCCGATCAAAGTGCTTGACATCTCCTACCCAAATCCCAGGAACCCCTGGAGAAGATGCGCAACACTTTTGACTACTGGAGATGTTGAACTCTATTTTGAGCTCTACAATGGTCAACAAGGAAAATGAGCAAATGGAGGGAATAATCCAACAAGAGATGTCCACAAACCATCAAATCGATCGCACACGCTTTGAACCGCACGATGATGTGACGATATGATGTCCGGAGCAAGAGTGTCTTGTGCGTTTTCAGCTGGTTGGTGATTGCGGTGACATGTTGGTGGACTAAGGAAAGGTGCGCTGCTTGAACGGTAGGTCCCCCAGATGACGAAGATCGCTCTAAAAAACTCCCCTTTAGAGCCACGCGGGTTGGAGGGACCAAATGCTATAAGGTGTAAAGTAGAGTGAAGTGAGTGTGACTGTGACTGAAGTGGCCCCCGATTGGATACACGCTAAAAGTAAAAAAACTCCTTCACAGATACCACACACTGACTCTGGATCACGATCAACAAAGCTGTACAAAAAGTGTTATTCTCTGTACAAGTATTGAACCTTTTAACAGTCAGAGTCTCTGGTCTACATAGGCCAGCTGATGATCGAGAGTATCAATCAAGCAGAGAAGGGAATATTTTATTTACTTTACATACTAGCAGCAGCAAGCAAGCAAGCAATCAAGCAACCAGGCAGAAAGACAACAGTAGTCAGACAGAAAGACAACACTAGACTGAAATTTTCATTCTTCTTTATTCAAACAATACGCGCTGAGCGTGCTTGTCTGTCTTCCACACAAGAAAATACCTTTCATAAATCATCAACGAACAGATTAAATCTCAACATCAACATCACTTTATTTACCTCTATACTCACTTTATCATTCACATTTCAGTCTTTAAACGTTGCTTGGGATTAGGAAGATCACATTCTGTTACATACATCTGTGTGTCAGTCCTCTGAGCACGAATACATCGTCTGAGTTCACCTTTTCCCCTTCCCGTATCCTCTTATTGCGCTTCATACGCCATACACAATCATAGCGGTTCTTGTTATTTGGACTTTGTTCTGACCCGCACCTATCCGTTTTTTTACTTCAAAAAAGCTCCCCTATCCACCCCTTTGAACTCTTGTCGCCAACAATTCCCTTCGGAATATGCTTTGATCAACAGAAATTCATTCACCCTCAGAGCTCGCATTTCGGTTCGTGTCAATAGAGGTCACGCCTCTCCCTTCCCAGCACTTGACTTCTCGTCTCACGGAGCATTCTCACATTTTCAACCTTCCACTCCCCAGGAAACCCGACCATTCACTTTCATCGCCCATATCTCCGTACCCTTTTCCCTCCTTTTCTTCCCGATATCTCAAGTCAAAACCTCAAGAGTTGTTTATACTCTGTGATTCCGATCACCATTCAGGTATCCTGTCCTTCGCACAATTTTCCTCGGATCGAGCGTCTGACGGTAAGTTGTAATCATTTTCCTACACATTTTCTTCAACTATGATACTTTTATCTCTCTTTCATCAAAACATTACTAACCTGAAGCTGTTTATTCAGCCCTGCCAAAGCGAGCTTCGTTGCGCTTGGTCGCCTCACTCACCCGATTTTTCGAAGTCCAGCCGAGGTCTTGACCTCTGTTTAGGTACAGCAGATCTGATAAGGTGGTTGGAACTCGAGATTATTCAAATTGTCTTCAAATTGTCAATCAATTTGGATTTAAAGTGAATGATACTCAACAAGTCTGTTAAAAGTTCATCTATAAATCGGTCATTCTATTCGAATTAAATATACCTTCTCGAGGCGGTGAAGGTCTAGTGCTGTCTTAAAAAGTTGATTGACCTCATTCACCTCATTCGGCTTGTTGCACACGTCCCGTGGATCAAAATGTAAATGACTTTATCGAGACTCTAACTCTAACTCTGCCTCAAATTGAACATTGTCTCTCTTTGGATCATCAACTAACCTTCATATTCGTCAATCCATAAATGCAATTGGCCCTCAGAACCAGGTATACCATCTCACTTTGAGAGTGACTCCGTCAAATTCCTGTGACGACGATTTCTGAAGCGTCCGCCCTTCTAGCACAGCCATAGCGCATGGCTTCTCACGGACATCCTGGACAAATAAAGAAAAATAGTTCTAGTCCCAACGTCGTGGGTTTAAATGCCAACAAGGCTCCTTCTATTTCATCTGCTAAGCCTCGATTCAGGTCACGGACTGGATGCTGGTGAGTCACACCCTTGATCAGACGTCACAAACCTGATGATCATCTTGTTTCTTTCTGTGTGGTAAGATCCAAAAATCTAACCTCATGTAAATCATCTTCCTGTCTTTGGGTATCTCCAGGACTTGTCGGAGACGAAAGGTGAAATGCGATGAACGAGGTCGCAACTCGGAAACAGTCGCATACGGCGGCCCATTGTCCACCGCATCTGGATGCAAAAGATGCGAAGATAGTGGTAGACCTTGTCATGGGTATGGTGCACATGCTCCCAATAGACCATTGCTGCACTCGTATGCAGCCTCCACACCTGGGGATCTAGCAAATAACTCAACACCATTCTACACGCTCGGTAATAGTACCCAAGAACACCCGTCCAACTTTCCATACTTCTCCCATTATATGTCAGCATCAGATTCATCGCCATCCATCATGTCCGACCTAGCATCCTGGAGTAGGTCATCAGACTCTCTCAAAGTTGCAGAGCAATATCCCGAACAAGATTTACACGCTCAACACTTGAGACTAGCTTCCTCGACCTCCGCCGCCGCTCCAAACCTTGCTTCAACCCCAGGAACGATTCATTCTCACCCACACACGCTCATCACCCCACCGCTTGATATGAGACGCTTTTCTGTTCCCACTTATCCCACTTGGCACAGCTCAGCTCAGGAGCGTCATCAAGCTAATCATCATCATCCCGGAGACTCGAGGGATTCTTTTTATCTTCATTCAGCACCCCGCGACGTGGGAAATCTCAACAATGATGGCATATTTCAAGCGGATGGGACAATACGAGATAACATTCAGGAAACCCCATTTATGAACATTTCCCTCAACACTCCACTATTACATCGTTCTAATGGGTCTAATGCAAATTTTTCAAGTGTGCGACCTCATGATCCCGATATGCGGCCAAATACTCAAAGTACCAATCGCCCTCACCTTTCATCTGTTGATTTTGGAAGACCGCATACGTCTAGCGGCGTGACTTTGCCCCATGTTAATAATACTCATCTAGCGTCGTCCAGAAATTATCGGAGTCCAGTCTTCCAACACCCCGAAGTCATCAGTGGCATACCAGAGTCAGCTTACGATTCTTCTGTCTCTCCCACCACTACTCATTGCAGTGAACTAGGACGAAATGGGTGGCCTGATTCGATGAATGGATCTAATCACTCAAAATTGCCCTTACAACCATTCAACCCAACAGGTCCTTCACTTCCTGGCTTCCACTCACCTACGATGAGTAAACCATTGTCTCCAATAACGCAAAGGACGAGTGCTTCTCAAGATTTATCATTACTCAAGCCAGTCTCGCCCATTGATGCTTCCAATGCTTGCTCTCTCAAACCACGTTATGACTTCTATTCTCCTTCAAAAGGAATGCCGTCTGATACCCATTCGCGTTTTCCGTTATCGGGCGCTAATCTTCACTCTCCCTCTCACAATGGGAATTTCCACGGTCCACCAAAGATGGAATACGGAGCTGTATCAATCGACAGTCATCATCTGATTGGCAGTGATATGAAAAAACAATCCAGTTCAACTCTTGAAGTGAATGGTGGTTCCAAAATTCTGATACACCCTCCTAGCTATGTCGATTCCTTCGAGTCTGGAATGAGTCAGGCAATACCCGATCGAAAGAATTCCACGTCTTCTTCTAGATCATCTCTTTCTACTTTTGATCATGGTTCATCTCCTCATATATCACTTACTGGACGTCCATCTACCAATCACCCATGTTCTCCTTCCGACGCTTCCTCTTCTTCTTCTCCGGGATCGACTACTCAACTTCACCAAAATCATTATCATCAGCCCACGATGAGTAAACAATCATCATCGATGAACATGTTTGAAGTATTACAAACTAACAATCATACAAATTGGAATCCCATGGACGCACATGTCTTACAAGAGCCTGTAAACCATGAATTTTCAATTCATCAAGGAAATCATTTATCTGTAAACCCAAAGAACGATTCAAGTAACGATGACAGCCCCGTTTCCACGGCTAACTCTACATTCTCTTGTCCGGGAAGAAATCAGTGTTAGTCGTTTTGACATTGTCTTTTGATATAAACCTCCGTGGTTGAATTCTTTCATCATTGAGTTACCTATGAGAAGTTTAACAATGATCTCCTATTTTTCTTTCAGATGAAGCCCACGGTTCACCTGGAATTTTACATCACAACACGATGATTGAAGAGCCTGCACCTTCATTTTCTCTTATTTATAAATTCCCACCACCTGAAACTCCTTTACCTATAATTGAGACTTCACAACACTTTTCAGTAGACTCATCAACACACAAAGGGTAAGCGAAGAAAAATATTTGATATTGAATTTTATGATTTATTATACTTTAACAAGTCAAATGAGAATTGTCCGTGTAAGCTGGATTTTTGAACATAAGCTTCAAAGTTGATTTACATGACTTCATTTTCGTTTATTTCCCTTTCTCTTCCACCTTTTTTATTAATAAATCTTTCTTTATGATGTTTTATGATCTATGAACTTTTCAAACGTTGAATAATTAGAAAAGGTGTCGAACTTTAAGATTTTTTTTGACTGTCAAAACTGTAATGATCTCTTTCCTGAATCCTTTTGATTACATAATATGTTAGAACTTTAAGTGAGAAGAAGTAATAAGAAAAATAAAAAATAAAAAAATTACCCCCCAAAAAACCAAGCACCTCTTAGATATCTTCACTTTTGTACCGTGAAGGAATTGATTGAAAAAACTTTTCTCGAACCCAGAGAATAACATCCTCGATCATTTTACAACTATCTAACTATCTTTCCACCCCACTTTGTATATTGTTTTATATTTTCTTTCCGAAGCGCACTTGTTGTCTTACTCCTTTGTTTTTGAAAATATCTTTCCTTGTATCTTTTAGAGACATCGAATCAATCGAAAAGAACTCCTGTTTTCTTAAAGCAAACATACTTTAGTTATCACTCTTTGAACATTCATAATATCCGTAGAAGTATCTCTTTTTTGATTATTTGATATAAATCTGATCCACCATTCTTCGTGGGGGGTTTGGTGCTCAAAAGGAGTTGAAACTTCTGAGCATCTTCAGTGAGAACACTATCAATCCTTGAACCCTGCAGCGAACCAACCCATCATGAGAAAGAATCAGCTCCGGGGATGGGGCTATCCGATCTTCTCCGATTCCAGCTCGAGTTCGATCCCCGAGGTCGGGTCAGCAAGCACTGGGTGGTTGGCGCGGATTTCAGATGTCGGAGCGCGATCAGACAAGACGCGCTCTAGAGTAGGGAGCGCGTTCTAAATTGCGTAAAGATACAAAAAAGATAACACTGATTCTTGCTACCGACTAGATGACCGTTGTTTTCTGGTAGACTAGTGTTTACACATGTATTTGACTAGATACATAGTGTGATATGCAACAAAGCAGGCCGCACTTTAAAAAAGATAAACAATAAACAGGGGGTGCGTGGGTGAACTGTTTAAGCAAAAAGACACAAAAATGAAAAAAAGTCTTGAAAAACACAATCAAGGCTGTGATAGCAGCTCAGAGACTAGTTGGAACTTTGGAAAAGCTGTTGCAACTTGCAAGTGGGGCTATGGATAGGCAATGATGTCCCAAGTCTGGTGTCATCCACAAAGATGTCTCTGTCATCCAAGCTATACAGATCAAATTCACAACCATCTTACCTGCCTCTAGCCCAATATTAAGCTCAAAAAGACCTTCTAAGCTTCAGATTATTGAAATCTTGTGTATTGGTGTGCCACCCCTAATTTGGGATTTGTTTGACACACTGCAAACATGCTGCATTCACCACCTGAGTCAGCAACCCTCTGGAGAGTGCTGAGGGATCATATAAAGCAACAATGTTTTTGGATAACATCATCTTGTGAGACCATGTAACACAGTACCAGAGCTAGGAGATATGAAAAAGATGTGTATAGATAAGGTCTACCAGATGATGCACATATGGAACCCCCAGCATGTCTGCTTGCTGCCAAAATGTACATTTTGTAGGGTTGAGTACTATTCATACTTGGTCAGGCCGGGTACTTACATACAGATATCTGGTTAATCACACATGATACATGTCCGGAAGTATATGTGATCAATAGACCTGGCACAGGCACATCTTCTGCAACACGGTAAAACATGCCAGCTTGCCTGCACTTGAGGAAAACCCCTCATAATTCCAGGCCAGGGCTGGTATGATGACTTGTTGGTATGTTATCTTGGCACTATTACTTTGAGTGTGAGCTACTAGCGTCTTTTAGGCTAGTAAACCACTAAAGAAAAGGGTGGAATAATAAACTAAGTTTATTAAGCACGTGAGAAACTTGTTATAAGTTTCAAAAACAAGGTTTGCTAAGAAGTAGTGTGATCAAATCAGCACTGACTTCAGCTAGGTGACCTTTTAACAAAGGGTTTGGATACAAATTTGGGAATTAATGCAAGACAAATGGTCTTCTAGCAGGATGTAGAGTAGAAACTACAGTCTAGTTTCGTGCCCAAGCCAACAACACTCTACTCTAGAGTTTGTTAATCAAGGGAAATATCACCTGGTGATATTTGAAGTTCTTTGAACTCTGAACACAGAGGAACTCCTGTGAATTTAGAGTTTCTCAAGTTATTGAATTCCCTTAATAACTTGAGCAATACTACAAGGATCGCCTCCTGAAAGAAGTCTTCAAAAGAACTTCAACAAACCACAATGGTAATAATCAATAAGAGAAATATGTATATAATGTCTAACAATGAGGACAAGAACTATTTATCTGATTGATGAATTTATTGATAATTTGCTTTAATGTAATGATGATGATGAATTTTCCTGGCGGGTCAGAGAGCTCTTTATATACTCAAAACCCTGAAAATCTTTTATGTACAACTTGTGGTTTGATTACATACTCATTTGACATATGTAATCATGAATTTTAATTATTTAATTATTATTTGATTATGCACATGTGTAACTCTTGTGTTATTCATGTGATGCGCACTGGTGAAAGGCATTCTTACTTAGTGCTACCTTTGGGTTACATTTACATGTATGTACATATGTAATTTCATATGTAACTATATGTAATTACATATGTACTTGGCTCTTGAAACTGAGCCATGAGTTGTAATTATTCTTTTTGTTATTTTATAGTTACTAGAGACTGGGCGGCCAGCCGCCGCATTACCATTATCCTACATTATTGGGATAGCATTAAGTCCTTTTCACGCCTAGGTGGCAATGATTTTACCGCAATAAAGTCAAATTGTCATTACAACCACACTTAAGCCCTGGTTTTCACTGTGGCCTTATTTAATTCCTGATCATCAAATGACATGTACTATGTCCTCTCCTTATTGGTCTATTACTTAGTAATATAACAATGCTCTCTCCCAAGACTCTGTAGTCCAATGTAAGGTAGTGACAGCTGTAATATTAACAGGGACCAACTCCGATTTATACCAACACCCAATCAATCTTTTTTCGACGTATTCAACCCATGAACCATCACAACGGTAATGACCTCGTGGTAATGCGTAATACCCCGTCTTTGTGCCTCATATGCTACCATAGGGACCACTTCGTCGGACTCGAAATTGTTGCTTTCTTTCGCGACGTTTCCATCTGATTTCTCATTCCCGACAACGTTCTCGACAATCTTCTTAGTTGTCGGTTCGTTCTTCATTCTGTTTCTGCACAGTGACAAATCTAGCACCATTATCAGCTTCATGTGACATTGCAAGGTCTAAATCCATTCTTACCAATTGACTTCGAATTATTTATCTTTTACTGAAAATAAACATTGACGAAACAGTCAGCATTGCTTCCTGTATAAAAATTAACCGCAGACCTCACCTATAGCTCAGTCGCAATGGTCGAATTGATAACTAACCAATATATTTGGATACTGGTGCGGACGACAATTCTACTGGAGGAGAATACAACAGCCCGTCTCGCTTCTTCCGCAGCTCCAATTGCTATAAATATTGATCTTGATGCCTATCGCCGAATGATATTACCGCCCTACTAATCAGGGCATTACCATTATCATATGATTTGTAGCGCGATGGCAACACACGTTAATGAGTTCAACATATTTTATATAGTGGCATGACGTGATCTTAGTGGCATTAATTCGTTGTCTATACTCACACTATCCCTACCGGGTATATATTGGCCTCATGTCCATTGTATCAAACTTTGTGTAACTTTTGTTAGGCATTACGTGAACCTACTCACATCTCGTGATAATCAATCGCGTCAAGCTCATTCCTCATTGTTAGCATTACAATTAATTATGTTTGCCATAACTTTCCAAAAATACTCCATATCGTGTATGTCTTATAACCATCTCGGCCCAATTTTTCACTTATTCTTCATAAAAAACCGATTCCCCCCACCGACATCTTTGTAATAAAACACCACCTCCTCGCCACAAATTGCCCTCCGAATTGGCCCAAGCATGTCCTCAAGCTACAATATTCCGTTATACTCTCTTCTCCCTGGCGAGTCCCACAATCAGCAGGCCTTGACATTCGCAGGTCAGTTTTGTATTGAAGCTTCAGTAAGTCATTTCATGTTCAATACAACTGTTCCTCACTAACATTACGTCGAGCAAATTGACATAGGTCGACGCGCGACGGACAGATATCGCCAATAGGAGATACTTCGCCGCGACAATTGAACATAAAGATCCTGGATTTCTCCCGAAATCAATTCTCATCAGTGATGATTTATTCAAACACATTCTTCACCCTGGAATCACATACGAGATTTATGGTCATATAATCAACCACCTCCACCGGTACCCGCCTATGATGTTTGTCGACTATCAAACATCAGCCCCCGAGCCCACGGACCGGATGCCGAAATCTACGTGCAGCAAGGCAGTGACAGTCAGCGGTACCGGCCACGTTATGCACCGTTTTGACCGTGAGGCCTTTCATGACGTTATGGTCATCGTCAAGCACCGGGACTACGATCACGGGGTGAGTCCTTTACCTGAGCATCTTGAGTCAATTCTGACTATCGTATAGGCTTTAGAATGGGTTGAATTCTACGCCGAATACATATGTGGAAAAAAGTATAACGATAATTTTGACCCAACGCCATTGCAAGTCGGCGCTAATATCCAGTTCAAAGGCCATATTAAGGGCTTTTATGAGTCCCGCAATACGTGGATAATTCGAGTAAGTCCGTTGCTTGTTATAGATAGTTCTATCCTAATCGCTGCTGTTAGGCCGTGTCTTTCAGTGCTCTCCCCTCAGTGGATTCTTTCTCAGAAAGCACCCCGCCGCGTTGAGCTGTATTGAGCAACGTTAGTACATTGATCCACCTCATCAAATATGTTAGTACCATGATTAATGACGATAGTTTTATCCTTTAGCGAGGCCTTTCTAACTTCCATAGCCGTTAATTGTCGTATGTGCTGTCAATATAACTCTATGAGCAAGTTGACATACTGCAAGCAGCACTTCAATTTGACAGTTGAAATGTAGCTGAGCCATGTCCGTTTTTGATGTGCGACAATCTTACAATCTGTGCAATGCCCATTCTCAATTTTGGTTCTCTGTTAAAGCTTGTGCCAATCTGAATGTCAATGCTCTCAATCAGTAAAACGATTCCTCGGTTTGGATGAGATAACGACTTGGTGCCTCGTGAATGAGCGGAAAGCAGCAAATTGCTGCATGAGTACTATCGAGCATTGCCAATCAATGAAGGCATTCAGACAGAGCTTAAACCAATACAAACATCTCCCCTAGACATTGGCCAGGTGCGAGCTTTGATCAGTGTTTACTTAAGTGGGGGTCAGTCACAACCTTTGCACGTAAACCCGGACAGCCGGGAGAAGGCGCTTCCGCTTCCAATAGCGAGAAAAAGTGGACAGTTTTATGAATTCCGTCTTCTATACACAATATCTACAATGTTGCTGAATTTGAGAAGTCAGAACACGCTCCAATAGCAGCAAAAATGAAGCACAGTAACATTTAATCCCGAGATCGTTTCAACGTGTGTTCTACCCTTAGTCCGTTTGCCGTATCACCAAACAAATTATTCAGAGCGTGGCCTACACTACCATCTGCACCCTCATAAGAAAGGATCATGTCGTCGTAATAGGTCTCTTCGTTTGGACGAATAAATTCAGATCTATTCCAGCTTGAAATAGGTGTTCGTTGTATCGGTACGGGCACCTGCGGGGTAATCACATCATCGGCTTCTCGAACCACAGTGATAGAAACAATCTGCCGGACGCGCATCAGTATCAGTGCTGAGATTGTATACATCAATGCTTACCTCTGATTCCCACATTTCATCAATATCGTCATAGTCCTTGATCATGCCATGTAGAATAACCTCCGCTCCATTCTGAGCCTTCTTTACCTCGCCGGCCTCGTTCAGGTCTTCTGTAACGTAATGTCGAGTGGACCAGACTACGGGACTGGAAGACTATCGCAAAGAGTTAGCATAGCGCGACCCGAATATATATGCTGACTCACAATTGGATCACAATCTACCGACTTGACTGTCAAAACCATCCGGGGCTTGCCTGAACCATTGTCACCAAAACAGTGCCTATGCGTGATGTAGCCGTGAGTCACTATCGATACCTTGTCAATCATCTTGTATAGGGTCTCCACTTTTGGACCCGTGGCTGGTCCGAGATCAATAACGTGTTTTGGATCGAAATGCAGATGGTCTATTAAAGGAGTATTTGAAGCAATAAGCTTGCTGGTCACCGCGTATATATTGCCGGCCTTTAAACATTTGTCCAAAGATCCCTTCGTCGTCAACAAAATCGCATTAGCGAAAGATCCTACTTCCGAGAGTCCTGTTGTCGCAATCCCACCGCGTACGGACACCATACCGCGGTCGCGGGCGTTCGAGGAAGTGGACTAATAGGGGACGTCAGTACCTTAACATTGCTGTGACAAAGAATGGGACTAACCTCAACACCTACGAGACCTACGTACTGGACATAAGTTGAATGTCGCAGGGAAAGCAAACTGGGCAGCATCATAGCTTTAATGTTCTATGTTATTAGGTGATTTACAGTACTCGGGGTCAATACTATTTTTTACTTGTCGGTGTTTGGTAATTGCGCTCATTAATGGATCCTGTGGTCATACTTATAGCACACTCTTCCTTTCACCACCACAGAGTGTCAAACTGATGGCCGGTAAGTTTCAAGACTATCATTCTGACCATCCTCCGGGCTAGTGCACTGTGTGTCCAGGACAGGCCAGCCCAACGTTGAGTCACACCAGGCACGGATTGATATTTCAACGGCGATACATGGCAGCGGCTAGTTCGGAACCGGTTCAGCTATTGCCCGTTGGCTGGTCAAACTGTTGAGAACTACGTTCCCCGTGAGCTTCATCGGCTTGGCCCAGTGCGAAATTTTCGAAGGAAAGCATCCGCTCGCGTTGGTATCGTCAACCGGTCCGGCACTATGGTGCATACGACTTTAAAGGGATTTAATCGCGATACCGGGAAGCATCCTTCCAACGACATAAGGCTATTATTTAGATAAACAATGTCTGATCACACTCCTAGAGACGATTCATTGACTTCAACCTATCATGGCCCCGAGACCCTAAGCATACGATTTAACGGACCAATCCTCCTCGGAACCATCGTGAGTGAAATCGCAGTGCTTTCTAGTCCTAGACTGATGCACCTTTTCAGAGATCGCATTCCAGTACCACACACGAGCTATACAACATTGGAATTTATCCTCACGGTAATAGACGCTTAGTAACCGGTTTTGAACTTCGTGTTGAAAACGATTTGGCATTGGATTACCAATCCGCTATGGTACCCGGGGTCTACCACTGTGATGGAATCATCGTTCGCTCCGCGGACAGCCAACGCAACCACATCAGTACCAACCTATCCGGATTGAGCGCCATGGATGACGTGAGGCCACGATCATTGGAATGGGACCATTTGACTGGTATAAATGCGACAGGTCGCGTGATATCAGACAATGCTATCCCGAATCCGTATGGCACAGACGCGTGGCGAATGTTGTTGTTACAGCACTGCGAATGGGATGCATCGGTATGTGAACAACTTATGTACAATTTTTATTACTAATGTTTGTAATGTAGGCTCTCGTTCATACACAGTTCGAAGCCCAATATTTATACCAAGTTCATACCTCGACTCTTTGCGGATCAGGCCATTTACGTGGTACATTAATCCATTTACGTGGTAGGTACTTAGCGAGGGGAATTCCACAGGGACGTGGCTGATCAAGGTTATGGGAATGGACTAAGATTTGCAATTTGGTGCGAGCTGTTCTGTGTCAGTTGCCCATGCATGATGATCGGCATGGTCTTGCATGACGTGCATGAAAGAAACATTAGTCAGCAACATACTACTTATACAAGGCCGATGAAACTTCAGAACCTAATTATACCAAGCTCACCTCTGTACTCATTCCACGATGAAATTCTTGTAAACGATGTTTGGTGTATGTGACCTGAGGCCTATTGCAGCTGAGCACACTTTGAGTTTAGAGGCATCCGTACAACGTGATAATGCAACATATAATTGGCCGTGTGAAAAGACTGGGTCTGGTAGCAGGACTAAAATGTTCTCAAGACTTTGACCTTGAGCCTTATTGATAGTAATGCAAAATGCTACGGCCACCGCAAATTGATAGCGATAGAACGGGACTGGAAATACATCGTCACCTTTGTGTAATAGTTTGATTCGAGGTAACATGAGCATTTCTCCAGCATGATCTCCAGAGGTGATTCGACATCGGAGGACCCCTTTCCCACACTGAGTGACGATCATTCGGGTGCCATTGCATAAACCTTGAGCAAGATTCAAATTGCGGAGCAGAATGATAGGAATGCCAGCCTTCAGCGTCAAAGTATGTGCTGGGAAAGACGCCAAGTCGTAAGAGTTCAGTATGTCTGAAGTAACATGTTCCCCGTAGGATTCTTCCATTTCATCCAAGGATACATATTGATGTTCTTCCCCTTCGATCTTATCCACGATCTGATTGTTTACCAATCTAACATTCTTGTTTAAAGGAGTAAGAACAGCCCGTTCAGAATAATAGTTTCCTAATCGTAGCCAATTCGACTCGCTTATCAGAGCAGGGACATTGGCGAAGTGAGCTTCAATCATAGGAAGGCTGTACCGTTCGTCGGGAGAAACGTCCATGACATTGCATCTAATAACGTCGATAAGCTCTTGATCGTCGACTTGTAGTTCGCCATTACCTAATTTTAAAAGCCATTCTCCATACGCAGCGTTACCATTTCGCGTATTGTCATCTTGTCCTGGGATGTGTCGCAAACGCATGTTGGTTTTCAAATAGAATTTTTCGATAGAGGGCCAGAATTCGGAGCGTTTGAGCGAGGCGTTGGCTTGCTGCTCCATGTTAGAATGCCGTATGACAGGCAACGTTTGCCTGAAATTCCCCGAGAAAAGCACTAAGACTCCGCCAAATGCCTCGGTACTACCCCTGATATCTTTCAAGCTTCAATCGACACATGAAATTACCGTCTTGTTTTGCATCGCAATTTCATCCCAGACCAAAAAGCGCAACGCCTTTAGCCTGCGGCCCAGGATCGTGTCGTGTCCAAAATGACACATTGATGTAGAGGTAGGATTAAGCGGTACTTTGAATGCGCTATGGGCCGTCTGTCCACCCAGCAGCAGAATTGCTGCAGTTCCTGATGAAGCGACCGCCATCGCCTCAACATCGTTAGCTCGAGCAAAATGCAAACATAAATTGATTGTAAACGTTTTACCGGTGCCTCCTGGTCCATCGAGATATAGTAGACCACCGCGACGATCGGCAATATAATCTCGAATGGTGGTATACAAGGCTTGTTGCTCTGCATTAATTTTTGTTTTGGCATATGTCACATAGCGTTCGCTAGCTTCTGGGCTGGTGTCTACACCGGGGGCAAAAACGAACTCAGGACCAAGAGGGTTAAGCAAAGTCATGTCAGGCAAAGGGAGGCCACAATCTTCCAAAGTCATGTCCATCTCTCGGAGGCAATTGCCTAGGCGATATAATCCTAGATTTAAAACCAATTCGGCATCCACTTGTAAATCGGGGTGGACTCGCAGGATAGCTCGCTCACAGTCGTCTGAAAGATTGTGTTTATGGGCTGTCCACAATGTTAAAGGGTCTGCTGGGGGTGAATGTTTCAAGATTAATGCAAAGAAGGCTCGAAGTTGTCCCCCTGTTTGCCATCCAGCGGCCTCAGACATTGACGCGGTATAGTGTTCGTCGCCAAGCAATAGCCCGAGTCGGTGCGCCGCCTCCCTGAAGGTTGCGCAAAGGTGACCATCGACAGTCTTGATCTCAGAAAAACCCTGAGGACCCTTCAGATTCGATAGTAGAATGCGCAAGTAGTACCTCTCACCGTGTGAAACGGAAGCGAAATAAAGGCGACCAATTGCGCCACTCTCGTTGATACGATCAGCCCAATCATGGGTAACCTCATTCCAGGTAAAATGGCGAGGCATATCGACGTAATACAAGGACCGGACGGCAATTTGACTTTGTTCAGTGATATAGTCGCGTTTTGCCAACTCAAAAAATTGTGTGAGGGTAGTCTTTGCGGCTCGTCCGGTCTCGACATCCTCGACAAGTTGGGCCTCGTCATCGTACGTGACTTCCTGCGCATCCTCAAGATGCAGGGCTAAGCGAGTGACAGATGGAGAATTTCCTACTATTGAATGACCGAATAACCGGCCGCAGGCTATGAAAACGTATTAGCACACTTAATCAAATTCAAAGAGGCAATACCACTAACCCTCCGGAGCACTGATATATCTCCCATCAATCATGCGCTTAACTTCGTCCTTTGACACGAATGTCATAGCTGAACGTGCGTGGCCTTTGGAGATGTATTTATAGAGGTATTTGATTGCCTTTATACTGACCGGGATCTCGACATTCAAATGGCATCGATAACGCAGTAACAAATAAGGACTATATGGGACGACATCTCGTGTAGAGACAGAACGGCCTTTGACAACGGCAGTACGTCCCGAGGCGGGCCTTCGATAGAGGGGGTAAGAGTTTTCTGAGATGGTGGTGAATTCTTGGTGCTGTCTTGGGTAGTCCAATTTGCATCGATCGACTCTCCAACAAGCTCTGTCCTTGGAACACGGACCGTGAATCATGAACTTGCTGACAAGGTCATGCAATTGGGGGCTGTCTTTCGGGTCGGGCAAGTCTGCAGAGACTTGTAGATCGATCTTGTCGGTTGTGCGACAGAGGTCCTCCTGACGCATAATGAGCAACAGATGAATATGAGGCAGGCTGCGCTTCTGGTGTTCAATCGAGTAGACGTAAGAAAGGCATTGACCGAGACACCGGCGTTTGGTGACGTCGTCGATAAGTGCCATGGCCTTCAGGTGAAATACTCGTGTCACTATGTCTGGCCTGTCCTGAGCACTCTGACCATGCTGTAAATTGCGCTGGATTTCAGGCCAATCCGAATTCGTAGTCATCGTTATGAAATATGCAGGCATACCGAACTCCCTGACTAATGCCATTGAGTCGTGATACTGCTCTGACATATAACGGGGTCCGCCGACGAATGACGATGGTAGAATCACTGATCGCGACGGTGCAAGATCGTTTCGACCGAGTGCCTCAACAACTCCATGATATATAGCAGCTCGCAGTCGCCTTTGATTGTTCCGAACGTATTCTAAGCGCCAATGTTCTGTGCAGACGTAGAGGTCGACGGCAAATTCCTGAAGGAGCCTACCACCGGCGAGAACGGCTGAGAATTGGTTCAGGCGAGGAAATAAGATATACGCAAACCACGCCATTTGACTAATTTTGACTACAATGAGATCATTTCAGCGGCAAGAATGTGACACGGAGCGAACCAAGCTCACCGTTGGTATCAGGCATTCGATAATGCTCATCATATCCTTGTTGACCTTTTGGAAAAAATACAACATACCTCAATGCGAGATAGGAAGTGTGAAGGTCGGATACGCGTTCAAAGGCGCCTTGCTTTTTGTATAGTATAATATCCCGGGCATTGTCACCCACCAAGCCCTCGCCCTCGACGATCATGGCGACTTCGTCTGTAGTAGGCAAGTTGTAACGTCAAGCGTCGCGGTTGGTGATCGGCATAGTCTTAAGTTTCAAGGCAATGCTGTCGTTCATGGCGAGTACTTCCCCTGCGCGTTTGAACATACGTGCAAATGGATTGATCTTGTAGAAATAGTCCTGGAATTGTTGCAGAATGTCTAGATCTAATTCCTGATTATTTGCTACGTTTCGCCGATGTTGGGCCTCGGCGCGATCTCCTCCCCCAATGACATAGATTTGGGCATGGCCTGCTTCGTGGCCCTCGCGTGGTTGTAAGCCGTCGATGTTGTGAACCAACGCGCCATTGATTCTGAAAACACGCATCCCCCTTTGTCCGTTAACGGACTTATCGATGTGTGCACCTAGCGACGTGAACGAAAGTGCGTTGTTGTAGGACTGGATGTTATCCCTGTATTTGGCGGACCCTATTCCAGTATCAGTATAAAATCAAATACTGAGATTTGAATGGTAGAATACCTTCATCGTTGCTCGTCATTAAGGTCCTTACAAACTCCGGCACAACGTGGTCACCAAGAAAGTCTACTGGTGGTTTGATTTTACCACCGCTGCAGCACATATTGTATTCATAGGGTCCGGTGACCTTCGCGCTCGAGGGTCTTTCGGCAATCCAGTGCAAAGCGCCGCATCTCTGACAAGGATCGTCGAGAGGACCCAAATCGTGCGGCATCTCGTTTCGTAATCGTCGCAGAATGCTGATTTCTGTGTTGTGCTGGGGATTAGTAACAGCAAAACCGGCGTTCGCTCGCTTCGCTGCACGAGGACGGGTGACAATGGGATAATTCATCGGCGACTCGTCTAGTAGTTTTATGGAGCTGAACGATGAGAGAAGTGATCTAGAGGCAAGTAACGGCTACAAACAAAAACTCAACTATTGAAATACTACCCGCTGAGAGTTCGGGCGTTGTATACATGACTCGGTGTTGTTCATATGGCTGATCACAATTATTACAACGCGTAGTGGTCAATATGACACAGTGTAATAATGCGCTCAAAGCGACTTAGCACATGCCGTTTGTAGGGTTGAGCAATGCCTAACGGCAGATGACCGAATAGGTGTTGAGCAGGAGTTTAATTCAGATCAGTGCGAAATCGTGCGTTATTGACATTATTGACAGAAGCTATATAACACTAAAAACACTAAGCACAAGTTAGAGGCCAAAAGCTATGTTACAACGTGCGGATAACAAGCACCAGGAAAGACAATTGGAAAGCGGTTGATCTATTCAATACGAGCTTTTTTTCCGCGTGCTCGGGAGTTGACTTCAGGAGTGGGAGATGACGCGGTCAATGGCTCCTCAGGAGCGACTTGAAGGGGATCGATGCCAGAGTTAGATGTGGAAGCGGCTGGAGAGGATTGGGTCGGTGTTGGGGAGCTGTTACCAACCGCGGCAGAGTACCTATGGGATTAAAGTCAACTCAACACCGACATAGACATTGAGTATCAGACATTGAACGTACCTGGGTAAACGTACCCGCCCAGCAGCAGTGGTTTGCGAAACCGCAGTACTCGCACCAGCCGTAGGAATGTTGACTGATTCGTGGCCAGTGGCGACAGACACAGCATAGACCTAGCGAAGAACGATTCAGGAACTGTGTAGAATCAAGAATCAAAAGACTTACGTCGACTTGCCACATGTGGCGTTGAGTATCTTTTCCGGTAATATAACCAAACAGCGTGACTTCGCGACCGCGCTGGAAGAGGTTTTGGGCCTTGGTGAGATTGCGTACCGGGCGACACCAGTATTCAATGTTGAATTCGACATTTGCACCGACCTGCGACAGTGTGTCAGCGCTGTCATGATGAATTAAATAGGGCGAACTTACGACGGGGTTATAGTCTGTGTGGCGTACAATGCAGACTGTGGTCGGCCGGCCATCGTGATTAGCCTCTTGTACCACACGTTTACTGACAATAACTCCGATTGCAGAAATTGCTGTGTTATTGATGATGACACCGGGAAAGGTTTCGGCATTGCCGAGATGAACAACGTGACTGTGTTCATGAATCGCGCTAGTTGGCGTAGGATCGTTCGGGGCGAAAAATTTCGCTTTAGCGAAGTACATGTCGCCTACATTTACTACAACGCCAGAGCCAGTGTATGCCGTGAGCTGAACGGGGTGTTCGAAAGGTTCGTTTCCTTCGATACCACTGCAACCAATACCGCTGTTAGCTACGCGATATCCAACGTTAGCGGTAAGAGTACTGGCAACCTAAAATATGTAAAAGAAAGATGTGAGATTGCGAGACGGGTATTGGTATGATTTAGTACAAAAAAAAACCGTACCACACCGGAAATTTCCCAGCAGGAGGAGACGTAAGCTGGATGAGAAACCCGACGATTGGTGGAAGATGCGGAGGACATAACGGTTGAGTAAGATAACAAGCGTAGACTGGTTGAGATATTTATTCGTATGGTAACAAAATAGCAGAGCGGGGAAGGATTAGATTATGCGACAAAGGTGATCAGAAGAAGTAAGAATAAAGTTGAGCTTTGGACAGATGGTGAGTGGATAAGAAAAGTAATGGACTATGTTGGGGGAAGATCACAAAAAGACATAGTCCTCTTATAGAGTTTGGAATGACCCATGTTAGAATTCAGACTGTAGTACAAAGGGAAGCGAAAGTTGTCCAGGCAGAACGATGTATCAATACCATTAGTGGGCCAATGTCGTTGTAGATGCTGTGGAACTGGCTACAAGATGTACCGGACTGGTAGTAGATGGCTGGAGAATAAAGAATGAGCGATTTGACAGCGGATATCGTTGGTAACTGATGTGAGGATCAGCAGGGAGTCTGTGCACAGGGAATAAATCAGTACATGGCTGGTAGATTTGGAGATGGCGGTAAAGAGATGTGGTCAAGGTGGGAATCTACCAAGCCGGGCGTAAGGATTCAGATTCATTGATGAAGGATGAAAAATGCGATCGTTATCACAGTGGCATTCACTGTAAAAGACCGTTGCGTATCACGGTATAAAATTTGGCCACGGGCGGATACTGAAGTAACAACGGTTGGAATGAGATAAATGAACTAATGGACTTTGCCGTAGCCCATCTTATTTTATTAGTTATAGGTAGATTTAGGCAGCCCTTTGGTACTAGTAATAGGGCTTGGGGCTGACATTGAGGTTCTGCCCAGAAATTATGGTGAAGGAGACCAAAGATGAAACAGTCTAATTAATCTATGAAATCTATGCAGGCCCTCAATTATCAAGTTGATCATGAGGAGCCATGGCTACTCTTGGGTAGCCGCCCTGGTCAAGAGCATCTCAAAAGTTAGGACAATTGAACAACTTTTTTATTTTCTCTATTTGAATAAAGTTGGACTTCACATGTAATTTAGAGCTGTAAAAGTACCACTCAGGCCTTTCCTTATCTTTGTTGTCCTGCACCATAGCAATTTTTGGTACATATGCATCAACAAGGGTTGTGCAGTTTCAGAGTATTTAATTATGCAGGGTTGAATGTAGTAGGTTGATGGTGTGAACATGGAGCTTGGAACCTCAATCACATAAGCTCAAACTACTAGTCTTTTCATTTCTTTTTATTATAAAATATATTGCCTGTAAGCACACCTAGAGGTGCTTGGTTGGGTCCAGGCAAGTAACAAGGCATGTGGCATGTTCACTGCCAGGATTAATTAAGAAGTTCCCAGATGGAAAAATGGGTCCTAAGGACCAGATTCCCCTTCTGTTACTGTTACACAGCTTCATGAATACTTGCCGAGTAGCCATTATGATGTAAGTAGTCAATTTTTCAACATGCTTGTCTCAATCTGAGAACAGTTACAGGATGTATTACATGTTATTTGCTTATCCAGATGAGCAGATAGCTGAGCAGAACTATATGTAGCTAATAGCTAAGGATTCACTCAGAGGGTTGCACCTATGTAGTGTATGCTTTATGGATCAGATGGGAAGTGCAAGGGAATTTGATGACCCATTCTACTCTCAATCATGTTCCCAGTGTAGGCCAGGGAACCTCTTCAATTCTGGCAGTGGTTGAAACCAAGACACTTCCCCTGCTGTCATTGAATTTCACACCTCAGAAACAAACTATCAGATTAGGCCCAATGAAGGCTCATTAATCACATGCAATGTCCTAACTTACTAAGTCCCTCTTGGAGGAGAAAGTAGTCAGGAGAGGGACCTCCCTATACAATAATTTTGGTATGCAAGCGAGAAAAATTGGGCCTGAGAGCATCCACAGCCGCATGCTGTAAACTGTGATGTACATAGATTTGTGGTATTTTTATCCACAGCACCCCCAAACACATATGTACTTAGCTTAAGCCATTCTTTATGTGCAAGCCAAAATAGGCCAAAATAAGTCTTTTTTCCACTAGCACTCTAAATCTTTCTGTAACTCACTTTTCCCATAAACTCCAGCTTGTAACATCAGACTGTCCACAAATCATACACCTCAATGATCCACTAAGCCATAACTCACCTCACAAATCATGCTACAAAAGCATATTGTAAGGAACCACAGCTGTACATTGTTTGAATTTCATACCTCCAACACTTACATACCTAAAAAATCTGTGCAACCCTCTGTACATCACCAATTTACGGCACAGCCGTGGATGCTCTGACCCCCAAACATATACAGCCATTTCAACAAAGATTGATTTTTTTGAAAATCTTGTCAAGGTGCAAAGCCCGGGTTTTGTCTCTCCATTGATTGGAAGAATACAGAAAAGAATAAACTTGCATATTCCAGTTTATTAGTCTGATTTTACCTGCTGCCAAGACAACTTTCTCCAAAGAAAAGTTGTCAGTCTTTTTTGAAATGGCTGTACTTAGCTCAGCGTGACTCTCTATGTGCAAGCCAAAA